TTTTCCAGTCATCCGGCATTCCGACCTTTGTTAACTTTAATCTCAAGGGTGGTAAAATGCTCAAATTAGACCCGATTATTGATTTGAGTGCAGCTCATTGTAAAAATGTCAACACTGACCGTTTTCTGAACAGAAATGGAAGGAAAAAAAATCACTTTTAATACAACCCACACAACTGCATAACTGGCCTTGAGATTCTTTGAGAGACATGCGGCAATTGCGCCATTACCGACTTTGATCGAAACAGAGTGGAAATGCTCAAATTAGGGCAGATTGTCGTGTTCTCCTCCGCGCTGTCTCTTGTTCCTTCTTTAGCCTGCACAGTCTGCGGGCGTATCGATAACGAAATGGATGGCGATTAAGAAGTATAGTGTGTGAGCAGCATGCCCCGTATGACATCTTGAGCATTTTCAATACTCTGCACATTTGTCTTTCAGAATACTCCCCATCTGTGAAGACATGCACTCAGAGACTGTGTGTGTGTGTGTGTGTGTGTGTGCGTGTGTGTGTGTGTGTGTGTGTGCGTACGTGCGTGCGTGCGTGCGTGCGTGTGTGTGTGTGTGAGAGAGAGAGAGAGAGAGAGAGAGAGAGACACACACACGGGAACAAACATAGCACAACTCTCCATCTGTGACCTCCCAGCTCCTCCATCCACTCTGTGAATGCAAGTGCAACAATGGAGGAGTGTGACAGAGGACGAGGAAGATTGCCTCGTTATTCAGGTGTGTGCCGATGGTAGGCGAGCTCAAGGATTGCGCATACGATTCCGAGAGGGAGAACAAGTGGCAGAGAGTGCTGCAAAGCAACAGATGTAACTGTGATGAAAGTTTGCTCCTCTTCAAAAAACATGTCATTTCATTTGCGATGTCATGCCTTGTTAAGGTCTCATAATAAGAATGAGAATAAGAATAAGAAAACCTTTATTCGTCTCACAATGGAGAAATTCCCAATTTACAGCAGCAACGTTATGAAAGGACGAAAGTAGAAGAACAAAAAGTATAGGAGCTGCTGTAAAGGCAGCCACTCTCGCGGCCGCCATCTTGAACTCATAATAACATAATAACATAATAACAAAATAATACAACACAACACATAAGACACAGACAGTTATTCAATCTTAACCACTTTTCTGCATACTCTTTGTTGTTTGAAGCAGTTATAGATGAAAGAGATCAATAGATGTGCGGGATTAGTAAGGTGAGAATTATTTCTAAATACATTGAACATAATTGGTGAAAACACGTGCAAAGACTGAGATCTCTGTTGTACAAAATTGTGACAACATAGCGTTTTTTTTTTGTTTTTTTTTAAGAGTGTGGCTTGTCATGGTTCTGTTTTTCGGTCTGGCCAGCAGGTGGCATGAGTGGCCTTCGGGGTGCACACCTGCGGCCAATCTGTAATTATGAGACTTTGTATTTAAGGACTCTTCTGCTGTGCATTTGTGTCGGAGTATTGTTTATTGCATTGCAACGTCCACGCTCATGACTCGTTATCGTTCTCGTCGTGTTTTTCGCTCTGGCTTTTCGGTACCATTGTTCTCTGCTCGGCAGACGCTTTATTTTACATATTGGATTTTTCTCGCGTTTTCCTATACGTCGTTTTTCTTTAGCATACTCTGTTCTATATTTGTTCCCTTGCCTTTTGGATGCAAGCGCTCTTCGTTAACCATTCGTATTATAGGCCATTAAACTTTTTTTTTTGTTTGTCACGGAGCTCTTGTTGGTGTCTGCGATTATTGGGATCCAAAACCTGATTCGGCTCGCCCGCAAATCGTGACATGGCTAAAACGGCGCTCAGTGATGCCCTCCCCTTGCACCATATAAGAACTTGCGCAGCCCAGTGACATAGTCGGGCAGCCCGGCAGAGAGTCACGTTGTTACCATGGCTGGAGCTGGAACTCGAGATAACTTTTAGCTGTCTTGTGGCAGTATCCTCGGTGGTCGGGACGACTACCGTCTTTTCGTGACAGACAGCTAGCTAGCTGCCTAAGATTTCCCGCTAATGTCTCAGGTAGACATCTCTCTGCCATGCTGTGTAGGCCACTCCACCGCCGCCGCCTGGATCTTGGACAGGTTGGCTTTCAGCTGCCCATTTTCTCATGATAAACCCAAGAAATTGAACAGAATCCACATGGAATTGACATTTCTCTGCCTTGACAAATGACTCGTTCTCAAGCAGACGTAAAATGATGCGAACGTGTTGCTGGGGTTCCTCTAAAGAACGTGAAAATATAAGAATGCCGTCCAGATAAACAAAAAACGTTCATGAAATCCCTCAAGACATTGTTTATCATGCTTTGGAATACTGCGGGTGCATTAGTGAGACCAAAGGGCATAATCAGATATTCTAAGTGCCCCAGCGGTGTCTTGAAAGCTGTTTTCCACTCCTCCTCTCCCTCCAAATGATAAGCACTGCGTAAATCAAGTTTCGGAAATATGGTTGCGGACTACAAAGGAGCAAATGCGGAATCAAGTGTTGGAAGGGGATACTTGTTCTTGATGGTTATGTCATTTAGACCACGATAATGAACGCGAGGTTGTAAGGATTTGTTCTTCTTTTCTGCAAAGAAGAAGCCAGCTCCTAATGGAGACTTGGAGGGCCTGATCTCGTAGCGCGTCTTGTTCAGGCTGTGAAACTTGATAGAGACGTTATACACCTCGCTACTTGGCGCTTCATGTTTTGCAGCTACCGTGCTTGGTGAGTTTTTCCAAAATATTGTAAAAAAAAAAAAAAAAAATCCCAAAAATTAATCCAAAAATAAAAATTCGTCTCGGCAGCCAGTGTGGAAAGATGCGTTGTTTCATTTTGGTGGGTGAAAGAGAAGGTTTCCTCACATGCCAAATTTAATTGACTCACAGGCTTTGTACATGCCTGGATGTGCTGTACATGCCAGGGGCACTTATACAAGGTGCATGATTGGTTCCCGGCACGACATCGACTAACAAGAGCACAAAAAAAAAAAAATGTTTTGATACATTCATTCTTATAGATTTGATCTCTAAATTGTATGGACGGCAGGAAATAAAAACAGTGAAATAATGCTCATTCTTCAAAAAGAACATCTTTCCTTTCCTGCTTTCTTGGATAAAACATCTTGACAATATTTCAAATCAGGACCCAAAAGCAAATCCAGTCACATGTATTTATTTATTTATTTAGTAACAGGTGCCGCAATGCAGAATAGAATGTGTACAACCAGAAAGGCCAACATGACCGCATAATTCCGCAAGTATGAAATATTTATGAATATGTATACTCAAAGACAACAAAATTAATATTTGAAGAGGCTTTGGGGGTCTGCCCTCAGCCTTTTCGGCCATTGCTCATTTTGGGTTGCCCCCTCGTGTGCATGTGTGTGTGTGTGTGTGTGTGTGTGTGTGTGTGTGTCTATCCATCTATCTATCTATCTATCTATCTATCTATCTATCTATCTATCTATCTATCTATCTATATATATACTAAATACTATATAATCTCGTTTTAGAAGTATGAATTATTCATAGAAGGTTGGCTATCGCAAATGCCCAATGCACCGATTAAGCAGAAGCATGCATTTTTTTCCCTTTTGCTATGGTTTTACAAGGACAAGAATTCCCCTCGTTGAACCCTGTCGTCACACTTTTGCATCTATTTTATTTAGAACCACTGATGCTGTTTTATATTCACTATCAGAACACAATTATGAAACTGATTTCAAGTTACAGCAGCAGGATTTTCACAGTTTATTAAGGCTCCGGGGGATGGAGATGTGTCCAGGGAGACAATGCTGATAAAAATTGGACAAAAATGCTATTTAGACTTGAACTTTCCAGTGTAAAACATGATTTTGGGCTTGGTAGGAAGGGAGACAATACAGGAAAAAAGGGACGGCTGGGTTAAAAAAAAGACAATTTTTTTTGTTGAATGTGTCTTGCAATGGTGCTTAACTTGAATAATAATCATTGAAAGTCATTAATAAATAGACATAAATAAACATGATTTTGGGCTTGGTAGGAAGGGAGACAATGCAGGAAAAAAGGGACGGCTGGGGTAAAAAAGACCTTTTTTTTTTTTGTTGAATTTGTCTTGAAATGGTGCTTAACTTGAATAATAAGCATTGAAAGTCATTATTAATAAATAGACATTAAGGTTACTTGTCTTGTGGTTTAGCGGATTTTGGATGCTTGGATGTTTGGGGTGGTGTTCGTGTACTGTAACACTTTTACTGTAGTGTTGACGTCGTGAGGCGCATCACTGCGGCAGGGTAGCAGTCGTGATGTCAATGAAAGTCCTTGGGTGCCTTCTAGCGCTGATAAAAGGTACTGCCCCAATCTCATGGGCCATGTGTACGTACAGTGAACATCCATTCATCCATGTTCTGAACCGCTGAGCCGTCTCCGGGGTAGTTGGTGGGGTTCACGTTGAAATGGTTGCCAACCAATTACAGGGCACACAGAGGAACAACCGTTCACACTCATTCACATATAGAGACAATGTAGAGTGTTCCATGAACCTGCCACGCATGTTTTTGGAATGTGGGAAGAAAACGGTGAACATCCATTCATCCATGTTCTGAACTGCTGAGCCGTCTCCGGGGTAGTTGGTGGGGTTCAACCTGAACTGGTTGCCAACCAATTACAGGGCACACAGAGGAACAACCGTTCACACTCATATTCACATTTAGAGACAATTTAGAGTGTTCCGTGAACCTGCCACGCATGCTTTTGGAATGTGGGAAGAAAACAGGGTACCCGGAGAAAACCCACTCAGGCACGGGGAGAAGGTGCAAACTCCACACAGGAAGGCCAGGGCCGGATTCGAACCTACGACCTCTGCACTGTGGGACGATCATACTAACCACTCAATCGCTGCCCCATTTACAGTGAACAGTCTAGCGAAAATACTGGTGTTTATTAATGGAGGGGGGCTGGGGGGGGGGTTCTCAAACATTTGGATCCATCATATACCTAACCTAAAAAAAGAAAACTTTGCAATGATTCTTGAAGGAATAAAAAACACTGTTCTTGAAAAAAGGGGCCTTTATTCCTGTAATAGTACAAATGTTGGTCTAAAATAACAAAAAAACAACTGTATTAATGCAATAATGTGAGATTTATGTGACGTGTCATAATCAGTTGGACAGGGAAGAGTTATTTGTTTATTATATTAAGAGTTTGTTTTCTTGGCCACCAGTCCCCATATGTAAAGAAGCACTTTTAAAAATATGTTTATTTATTGAAAATGATTTTGTGGACCCCAAAGAATGTTTAAGGCACACCACTATAGATAAGAGTTCATCTTCATCCACTGCACTGGTTTCAAATGTATTTGACATGATGCATATTCAGAGAAATGATTAATTACATCTACAAAAGTTGTTCCCTGAGTTTAAATGGCATTCATTTCATGCCAACACACACCAATTACTTAACATGTATGGCGAGACTAAAGTTTACATTCATTTGGCCTCACTTGTATTTCACATCCTCTTTTTTTTTTCATGTTTTATTGCAAGCTCTGTCTTGCTCAAGATCATTTGCTGTAACAGGATGTGGAACTTGCACAGTGTCCCACCAAACACTGGCTGGATTTGGACTGCATTTCCAAGAGTCAAATTTCAATTTGATGCGAATATATGATCATTTTGACACATATTGCATAAAACGAAACTCCACAAGAGCCAACATGGAAGTAAAAAAGAATACAACATGCGCACAAACATTAAACATGTTTTGTTGAGTTGGCCTGGGGTCAACATCCCCCATTGATTCAAATAAGGGAAACCTTACTGTCAATGCTTTTGTGGATTGGAATCGACAACTAATTTCACTCCAAATATTATTTATTCAGGACAAACAATCTATTTTGTTCATCTGTCCATTCCAGTTTATTACGGATAGTGACAAGTAGAACAATTACAACGTAAATGCTCTTCCACTAGATGTGTCACTCCTACAAGAGAATAACAGCTTTGTGTTCGAATAAATAGGCCCAGATTTTACACTGACTATATGAAACTGAGATGTGATCATCATTATTTCAGTTTCTATACTTTTTGTACCATATTTTGGTGGCATTTATGCGACGCTCATTGTGCTCACATTGACGGGGTGTATCTGGTCTGAGCGTATCCACATTTAGACGAGGATTTTGATCTGAAGATATCCGATTCTGTGTTGACTTTCTATGTATGCTGCCATGACTCATATCCCCTCTGTGCCACTTGAGAGCATAAAATTGTGTCTCTTGAACCATCCAGTGAAAATCCAGCCTTAGTCCCTTGCGCATACAGTGTCTTTCAATCTCGCTAACACGTGATAAATAAACTCCCAATAAGTCTCCTTTTGTAATCCTGAAGAGCTGGATTGTTTGTTCTTAGCAGTTTTCGAGGTCCTCAGCTGCCTTCTTGACCGCTTGTGTCCGACTCTGAGCCCTCGGCCTCGTCCGCAGACGCAGTCAAAGGAGGGTAAGCCCTGGACTGGTCTAAGTTGACATAGTTGACCTTCAGGTTGATGTAGTGCTCTCCCGTGAGACTGGACAGAATGTGTTGCACGTCTGCGACCAAGCTGTGGAACGTCGGCCTGCGTTCGGGCTCCGGGTCCCAACACGCCAGCATGATGGAATAGCTGTGGAATGTATGCGTGAGAAGTGATTGTGAAAACGTGACACAATCTTGATGCTGAGGTCATTGGAAGAGCGTCTTACAGAGTATCAGGGCAATACTGCGGCTGCGGTAGCCGACGGCCCCTTAGTAGATAGTGTGTGATGTCGTAGGGGTCCACTTCTGGGTATGGACTGGCTCCTCTCGTCAGCAGCTCCCACACCAACACTCCATAGGACCACTATGAGAGATGTCGTTAAAGACACCATCTAGCTTGGATGAGGTGCTTTAATGCGGATACTTTGCAAAATCAGTGAGCTTTCGTTCTATGACCTTTTTGTACAGGAATGAGAAATTTCAAACTCAGTTTAACGTATTATAGCCCCTAAAATTCGGAAAAGACTCAAGCGTAATATTTAACTATCAAAGTAATTGTTTTCCTACTCTACAATTTGACATCCTCATCAATCTCTGAAACAGTCCGTTTGAAAATTCATGGAAATGGGGTTCGCACGTCTGAGAGTCTGGGTTCGAATCTCATCTTTGGCCTTCCTGTGTCATTTGCATCTTTCTTGTTTGCATGTTCTCTGAGTAATCTGGCCTCCTTTCACGTTCCAGAAACATACATGTTACAGTCATTGAAGACTCTAAAATTCAACGGGTATGAAACTGAGTGTGACTGGGTGGTTATCAGTTCGAGATGTACCACACCTCTCACCCAAAGTCAGTTGGGATAAGCTACAACTCACCCAAGAATCAAATACATTTGTTAGGCACTGGAAATATATACCGGTATATAAAATAATGCACATAGTTCTCATGAGTCTTCATTTTATTGATTCAATGCAAATTCATGGCAATAATTGTACCTCCTTTGGGTCGTGGGTTAGCTGGAGTCGATCCCTGTTGAATTTTTTGGGAGAATCGGGAGTAGGCCCTGAACCGGTCACCAGTCAATTATAGGGCACGTTTTGGAATGTCGGAGGAAGCCAGTGTTCAAGTATGGTGTGAACAACAAACTTGAGATTCGAACCCAGAAGCTCAGAAAAAATAAATAAAATGAAATAATAATAATAATAAAATATACTGACGTGCAAAAAATAGATTACCGTATTTTCCACACTATAAGGCGCACCAAAAAGTAATCCATTTTCTTAAAAGCTACCAGCGCGCCTTAAAGTCCGTCCTTAAAATTCTGTAGGGGGGCTATAGAATTTATTTTGTGATTTCCTCGCTTGATTTTCTGTTTTGATGCATTGTTTTCAATTTTCGTACTTTCGTTGAAGTACTGTAATCGTTAATTTACGTTTTTCGGAGGCGGTCATGAACGCCTCTCGGGTCGAACAGAAGGAGCGTAGCTCTATCTAGTGGATGCATTTTAGATTGCGCCTTATAATCCAGTGCGTCCAATATACGATAGAAATTACAAAATAGGCCATTCATTGAAGGTGCGCCTCATAATCCAGTGCGCCTTTTAGTGTGGAAAATACGGTAAATAGATTTTTTTTTTTTTTTTTAATGAATACCTCTCTTCCAGAATGGCAGAATTTGAATGTGGGTCTGGTATTGTGTACTAATGTTGAGTCTGGTTGAGTGAAGACATCGTCTACTCACCACGTCTGACTTGATGGTGAACTTCTGTGTCTGCAAGCTCTCGATGGCCATCCACTTGACCGGTAACTTTGCCCCCTTGTGGTCTTGAATACTGTAGTACTCTTTGTCGTAAATGTCACGTGCCATGCCAAAGTCTGCCACCTTGACAGTGAAGGTCTCATCCAGCCTTGCGAGCGAGCAAAGACACCACTCGGTCAATTATATGAGAAGTTAGAAAATGGTCATTTTACTGAGTGAAATGAGTACTGTATTTGATTTTCTACAACATAGCTTGAATGCTACCTCACGTGACTATTACTGCGTGCATTTGGCAGGAGAGTGACGCCTGCTTGCCAAAGACTAACAATGGAAAACAGCAATGAAAACTTGCGTTTATCTGTGAACATTCCATCCAAGTCAATTCACATCTCATGTTGATGAACAGGATTTAACGAGATACACACGCAAGCTGGACAGGAAATTGAATATTACTAAATATATCGAGTAGGGAGGCACGATGGTCAAGTGGTAAGCACGTCACAGTGCAGAGGTCGTGGGTTTGATTCCGGCTCTGGCCTTCCTGTGTGGAGTTTCCGTGTTCTCCCCGTGCCTGCGTGGGTTTCCTCCCACATTCCAAAAACATGCATGGCAGGTTAATTGGGCACTCCAAATTGCCCCTAGGTATGATTATGGGCGCAAATGATTGTTCGTTGCAATTGGCTTGCAACCAGTTGAGGCTTTACCCTGCCTAGTGCCTGAAGACAGCTGGGATAGGCTCCACCACACCTGCTCACCCTCGTGAGGAGAGGCAGATTAGAAAACGGATGGATGGATGGATGAGATATCAAGTGCCAGGAGTGCTTATTTTCAAATTTTGCGAGAGCAGATCGGGAGCATGCCCCAGCCGAATCGGCAGAACCCAGATATCTACAATTTTCTCTTCAAGTTACCCTCTCACTACACAGTTGAGTGCTTGCAATCTTACAAAGGCTGAGAAGTTTAGGTAACAGGCGTGTGTACTTGAAATGCTCGCACGCTTTAATCTTTGAGATAAGTATGATGATGGCAGGATCAACCAATTAGCCTCGGAGCCTTGAGTGGTCACGCCGGCGGGCGCGGAGAACCGCGGGCGGGCGGCTATTTAATCGGCAAACCTTTTGCCCATTTGATTTTTTTTCTTCAACACAATTATAAAAAAATCCAAGCTGGATTGTGAAGCGGCGTCGGTGACGCACTCGCTCGCAGCCTGCCCGGCATCTTTGATCGTCAATTAATCATAAGTAACGAAACAATCAAGTTACATCTACATGATAAAACTGATTCTCGGTAATTGCCACTATGAGAAGAATCCCACTTCTCCATCTTGTTCTTGGCCTCTTTTTATGGCCACAATCCATTCATCACGCCTTGGTTCTTGGTGGAGTGCTCGTCCCTTCGTTTGTCCCCTTTTGCTGTGACACTCTGATTGCGTCCCATTGTCAAAGTGTGGCATTTGCGTCGACTTAAACTCACGACATGTTTTCGATCCTGCCAAAGCAGCATTGTTTACATTTGGCGCAGTGCATTGTGGGATGTGTTACGTCAATGCACGGAGCTCCATTGCAAAAATTAGAGACCGATAATTCACAAACTAACAGAAATATTTATTTCCCCCAATGTGTGTGTGATATAGTGTTCCCGCTCACATGCAGTTTCGTGCCGCCAGGTCTCTGTGCACAAATTTCTTCTGTGCTAAATACTGCATACCCTTGGCAACCTGCAGTCCAAACCCTATGAGGTCTTTTACTGTTGGATTCTGTGTAGGACAAATATAAAGGTCAAACAGAGCAGACGTTTCCAATTATTTGAAGCACACACGTATCCACACATGTTTACAGAGCAAACTATGACAGTCAAAGGTCCCCAGCAACTTTGGTTGTGAAACGTTACCCTCTGTGGCGAGCGGATAAAATGCCGGACGTCGCCATGCTTCATGTATGGCAACACCACCAGGGGGAGCCCTTCTTTGGGCAGCATGATGCCGAGCAAAGACAGAATGTTGGGATGGTCGAAGCCCTTCATAATGATTCCCTCTCTCAGGAATTGGTCCACTTCTTTTAGATCGGTGATTCCTGTTGACAGATTACAGCCTTGAGAAAAATAAAATATCCTCAAGCCATTAGTAGAACAATGTTTCCTTACGATTCAGTGATTTAACAGCACAGTGGATCTCTTGCTTATGACTGTCGTTCAGATATCCATGATAAACAGTCCCAAAGTGACCTTCATGAGAAGAAGAATGAGATGGAATGTGAGTAACTGTTCATTGTGATGACTTTCCAGAGTCCCAAAAGCATTCCTTACCTTTGCCAATGCTCTGGCTATCTTCAATTCTGAGCATCTCGGCGGGGATAAGGACATCCTTGACCTCTTCGAGCAGGTCAGAGCTGAGGCTGATCATTGAGACGCTGCCCCGCGGAATCAGCGGAACAGCAAGGTGATCGTAGCTTGCCGCGTACAGCAGACCTTGGAAGGCCATTCCTCCTGAAGCGGACGTTTGGCCGGAATCTATTGAAACACACAAAGAAAGTTGTCAGGTAGAAAGTCTAACTCTTCATCTGTTTGTTTTCCATTGGGAGAGTATAAAAAACTCCACACAGGAAAGCCAGAGCCAAGATTGTCATGCCAAACTCCAGAACTGTGAGCCAGTTCTTCTCAGATCGACACAAGCCAATGTCTCACCCTGCCTGTAGTCACCCGTCGGGGACATTTCAGCGTGGCTGACCATGCGATTCATCGAAAGCCTGGTGGTTAAACGATTCTCAATGATGGCTGAAAGGACAAAACGTGATTAACCAGCAGTGAAACACTCAAACCAGAAATTGTGACAACTTTTTTTACCACGCGCTGATGCCTCACCTCGCTTCTTTTTTCTCAAATGAATCATCACGACGAGCGCGATTCCGGCACCTGCCACTGAGGCGAAAATCACACCCAGCACGATGGCTGCGATGACTGAGTCGTAATTGTCGTCCTCATAGAGGACGGTGCCCACGTCGTGGCGTTTGCCGTTCACACAGACCTACGGTGGTAGATGATATCCAGTCATCAGCTGCAACATTGTGTACACCTGTACATCTTTTTCAACTCAGGGCTCAACAAGTAGCACAGCCCCAGATGTGTTGGTTATGCAATCCGTACTCTGTGTTGACCCCGCATTAGAAGGGAGCAGCGTCATTGGAGGAATGCCTCGTTCACACTAGACAGAACCACAACTTCGAAACAGACTCATTTCATCCAGCCAGGTGACAAAAATATTCAGACGCACGTATGTCCCAGAAACCTGAGAAGTTTTGAAGTGTAGCAAAAGCACGAGGACTGTTTCCTTTGAAAAACATCCCAAAGCAAAAGGACTGTTTTAGTTTAAAGTACAGTATATGTGGCAATGTGACTATGTCAAGAATTGTCATATTACCCGCCTTACACGTAGCTAAATATAAAATGGTTTGTGTAATGAATGCTGAAAAAGTGAATGTCTGTTGGTTTGGCGATGTTGCTATCTCACCCTGACAGGCAATCCCTCGCTGGGGATCACTTGGTTTTTAGGAATCCTGCAGGTCAGCTCATTTGACAGAACCTGGGCGTTACAGTCCATGTCCCCGATTTTCATGGTGATCTTCATGCACTTGTTCACCGTGTTCAGTTTGTGATGCTGTTTTAAAACACGTAAATTGACATGTTGTTTGTTATTATACACAGGCGGTGGCGGGTGGGTGGAGTCATGTGACTGTGGGCACACGTACGTGCAGCGAAACTTCAGTCTCTCCTGGTTTGAGAAGCAAAACGTTGTCTTCGTTTTCAAATGGGATGACTTTGGCGTCGGGGTGGTAGTCAAAACGTTCGCTCCAGATGTTTTTCTTGCCGTCCATGTGAATGAACAGCTCCCCGACATATGACCTGTCTTCCAACACGTCGGATGGAAAAGTAGGGGCCTGGCAAGTCTTGTGGGTAGTGTTCCCTGTACCGTTACATTCCTGAAAGGAAATGTTCACATTTGAGAGGGCCCATTTTTAGCTGCTTGAAGCTTCACTTATTGTTTTAATTTGCAAAATCCTAAAATTAGGACACACATGACAGGTCACATTGATCCATGAACATTTTCGGTCTCAAACAGGTGAGTTAAACTTACCAGTATGTGAGGTTCCCCTGATGAGCTTTTGGAAATGTATTGAAGCACAGTTTTGTGTGCAGAGTCAAGATTCTGCCCCCTGATCTCTAACTTGGAGCCACTGAAGCACAACATAAATAAGCAAATGAACACCTTGATCCACCTTGATAAATTCCGCGTCACTTTTCATCCCATCGTACCTGCTGAAGCTGCAATGAGGAGACACAGACGTGATAACTGGGTTTTCCTTGTAGACGAATGTCTGAGTGGTGGTGACCTCCAAGTGGTCGATGACCACTTTAACGGGAACACTCCCAACATTTGCCGCAGCCTCGGTGAGGCACACAATTGAAGCCAATGTGCCACTTCCTTCCGGAGGAACACTGGACACAATCATCAACGGTGATGTGAGGGGTGCACATACGTGACACGTTGACTAAATTTGACCATTTTCACCCGATCTGATCAAAGTCACCCCTCACCATCAGTCAAATCATCCTGTGGTGAGGGGTTGGTTAGAATGATTTTCCCTCCCAGATCTGCTTCTGAATTGGCTATCATTCTGTGGCTTGGCCCAACTTGATGGTGACCACACAAAACAGGATCTACCATACTAAAGAGTGAACTGGTTTCATATTTGTTTTCACTTCACTTTCAGCGACATCACATCGTGGGTCTGTGCTGTTTTGATCGCAAGGGAGGCAAAATGTTCCAATTTGGCTCGATTGACGGTATGTGTGTACCCATCTTATGTTAATGAAGAGGCCACGGAAGCACACCATTCTCATTTCTATGACAACCCATGAAATGAAATTCCACTAATTGTTTTAACTTCACTACTATGATGATATTCATGGTTAGATACTCCTGTTTCACTTACCCTTGAAAGTGACACTTTTTGTCTGCAATGAAGACTTCCCTTTGCATTCCAGTGTCAAGGTTGTGGCCCGTCAGTGTGACAAGCGTGCCGCCAAAAACTGGGCCATGCTCGGGTCTGATTTGTGTTATGCTGGGTTCCTGATTAGACACATGAGAATTTCTTTCATCACACAATCACAGACCTTCTATTGTATAACCTTTCGTCATCTCACCACAACAGAGAAGCCTGACACCCGAGCTGTGCCTTCGATGGAGTACTCGCCCCTCGTGTTCCCCTCGTGCACTTCCAGAGTGATTGTCAGATTGTCCTTTGGCACTTTCTCCTTCAGCTTGCATACGAGCCTGAGTCAGGAAAAGTATACATTGATTCATCGTTCACCACCTTCAATGTCTTGTAGTGTCGAGTGTCGTTGGGCATGTCTGGGAGACGTCAAAGGGTGGTTGAGAATGTGTCAGCTGCATGTGTGACATGCACAGATCAGAACGCTAATACACTTGGTGATAATTTCCACCCTTTGCATGTTTTTCCCGTGCCCGTGTGGGTTTTCTCCGGGTATTTCAATTTCCTCTCACATTCCCAAAACATGCATGGCAGGCTGATTGAACACATGAAAATTGTCCCTAGGTGTGAGTGTGAGTGCGGATGGTTGTTTGTCTCTGTGTGCCCTGCGATTGGCTGACAACCGGTTCAGGGTGTCCCCCGCCTACTGCCCGAAGACAGCTGGGATAGGCTCCAGCACGCCCGGCGACCCTTGTGAGGATAAAGCGGTTCAGAAAATGGATGGATGGATGGATGGATGGATAAATCACCACCCGCCCCCAAGTGAAAACACAATTCCTGATTTTACTCTTTTTATGTCAAAGATTTGTGCAGGGTACAATGATATCTCAAGACTATAAAGGCATTTGACTCAAATGTGTTACCCTGTATCAGAAAGCTTTGTTGAGGTTATATTCTGGTTACTCACACTTGGTTTCTGCTTTTGTCAGGCAGGACAGTACACAGGGTCCCTGAGCCCACAGTAACTGTGTGGGTGACACCATTGCTGATTGGCGGTCTCTGAGGAGATTGAAACTCTCTCCCGCAGAGCATCAGTTCGGTCTCGCCGCCAGCAGGTGCCGTTTTGGGGAAAAACTGCAGATAAAAAAAGACAATCAATCCCAATTAAACACTCCGGTAAGCGTTGCCAACTATCTCATTGTTTGAAGTGCCTGCAGAGCTACCTCTGTTATGACTGGCGAACAAGAATGTTTATTCCACTGCGAGGCGCACTCATCCTGCCTGGAGCACATTCCCGAGCACCATCCGCAGTTCATGAAGCGCGGAGACATTAAACACATGGAGCACGTCACAAAATGCGCACAGCCCGGACCAATGGTCGGCACCCTAAACAACTGGTTCAGCGATAGAGGGAAACGGGCGTGAAGAGAAGCCACGAACATCATCGATGATGGGTGATGCAAAAATATTACCTGATTTCCAGCCACGAAAAGAAGCGAATCATCATTGAAGAGAGTTGCCGTCCTAGATATTGGCATCCCTCCAAGAGAATAGTTGGCAAAAACGAAGGGTGTGTCAATTGTAAGAATGACCTAAAACCACAAAGGTAGTACAGTAATAGTAAACCAAGGATACAATCATTCGTATAGCGTGAGAGTCAAAATTGAAGTTCGCTACCTGGAGAATTCGTCCATCCGAAGTCCCAAAGTGCCCCAGAGTTTGTCTCCCACTAATGGTCACTAGGATAGACGTGAAGAGGACATTCCTCATCTGACGGTTGAAGAGGTCTATTCTGTAATACGGTTTGGACACCAGCGTGGGTTTGTCTGTGCATGTGGCGTTGCCCGACTGTGACAAACACAAAAAGACCAATCAGAAAAATGACTTCTTGGTGCTATTGGAGATTGTCCGTTGGACTTTATTTAGTTCTTTGGTTTGGTTCCATTCATCAATTTATATAACACTTATGGGGTTCAATATCATGTGCTGCTTAAATAATGACAGACATCCAGTCGCCAATGGGAATTCATAGAGTTGTACTGAAGCCACTCCTTCATTGTGTTGGCAGTGTGCTTTTGAGTGTTGTCCTGTTGGAAGGTAAATACTGTATTCCCCCCAGTCTGAGCACTCTGGAGAAGGTTTTCATCCAGAATGTCTCCGTATATTGCCACATTTCGTTTTCCCCCCAGTGCTGAGTAATCTCCTGAGTAATCTCCCAATCCTACCACAGTAAAACATCCCCCACAGCATGATGCTGCCACCACCACGCTTCATTGTGGTATCGGTCAGGCATGATTAGCTTTGTGGTCAAGCACACTATGTCAGACGCATTCAAGATTGCCATTTGACTCTGGATCAAGGACATAAGGCTCCGCAAAATATTTTTAGAAATATTTACTGGTTCGTGGGTGATGCGCGTAGCCGCCGGCATTAGGACGAAGTCATGAAAGGGGAGACGCGGGGTTTTAGAGAACCAGGTGGCTTACTTCCAGCTTAGAAAAATGGCCACCATGGCCACCAAAATCACTCATTTTTCACAAGAAGTGAAATCACCATTGTGCCAAACGTAATATATTATCCTTCTTGTATTTAAAGTTAACTGGGGAATGCTTAAAATAGACCTCGGGTTCACCTATCACAACCACAGTAGTACAGTACTTTCACAAATTTACTTTTATCCGTATGTTTCCCTCGGGATGTATCAACATTCGCATGCACTTGTGTATACATTTAAAGAGGAAGTTCTCCACCTTGTCTGCAGTCAAAAGTAACAAGTGTGCCATAAAAACTGCAAGCACGGACTCCATATGTTGACTGAGTGTTTCAGAGCACATGAAAGTGGATTTTTGAAGCTCTCGCATATAAACACTGAATAAGAGCAGTTAACTAAAAAGAATGACTGTTAAAGAAAAGGTGAAAACATTCCACTTTGACGCTGTCTAGACAAGTTCCAGCATGTGACTTTTTCAGTCGTCCCACGGTGCACTGCGCCGTGACATTTTTGGGCGAATTGACTCCAACTATTTCTAACTCACGGTTTGAACGCCACATGCATCTCTGAATATTTTCCATCATCCTCCAATTTCCTGTTTGAAAGCAGTTCCTCCTCCCCCCCCTTAAAATTCCACCTTTTTATCAGCAGGATTTATTACGCAGTTGTTGGCAGGCATTCCTGTCCGTGTACACACTGCTGCTCAAAGAACACTGAACTCCATAAAAAAGGAAAGACCACACCTCTAAGTGAAACTAACCTTTGCATGAGATAAAATGGCAAGCTGGCTGCTTAACTCTGCATTGTTAATGCACATTTATGACAAACGTTGTGATATCTGGTTTTAGTCCACTGTCGAGCAGTCGTTTGTTGAGGAAAAACAGAGCGTGGTAACGTCAACCACTGACTCATGCACCCCTCCCAGGGTCGTCATTTGCCTTGTGCTCTTTCACACCCCTTCATTCATTTCTCTTTGGGAGATTTGCTACTTGTAATGTACTGTATAATCACTGGGCAGGACTTTACAGTCTAATAATATTCAGCACTATATGAACAATGATAAAAATGCTGCCAAAACAGACATACCGTGTTGGCCCGAATATAAGTCGGCCTTGATAATCAGACAATCCCCTATTTTTCAAGACTCAAGTTTGAAAAAAGACTTTTTGAACACCAAATTAATTTTTAGACAGAAAATAATTACAGTACATCTGAAACAAATGATTCTAACAATATATTTGAGAGAAAAAGCATGTTATTTTTCCTCATTCAAATCTTAATATCTGAAAATTTAAATATGTAAACGAAAGTGCAATCACATTCATAAGTGAATGGCTTCTGATTTTTGAAATGTAAATTACATCATAACTTCTCTTCAGCTGCCGGTTAACCTGGACGATCTTCAACCCACTTTTCTCCAGATTGTCGCTACGTTTCATCTCTTCTATTATTTTCTTCCCTTTCCTTTCTTACCGCTATTTTTTATTTTTCTTCTTCGTGCTACCACTATTTTTATTTTTCGTGACAGGGGTTCACTTTGGCCTGGGGAGTCAAGTTCAGCATTCGCTTCAATGATATCTGGCGCCATCTAGCGTCGTGAATGGGTATAATGTCTAGACCCCGAATATAAACGACCCCCACTTTTTCAGTCTTATTTCAATGCAAAAAACACCGTCTTATATTCGGGCCAATACGGTAATACAGAAAACTTACTTTCTAATTGATTGTATACCAATCTCTCGAGCACCTGCTTACCTATCAAGTGTGAAATTGCACAACCAAGTACAAAACTAATTCCAACAAAGTTGGGACTCTGTTTTAGATGTAAATAAAAACAATGCAATGATGTGAAAATCAGGTTCAACCTATAGTTAATTGAATACACTACAAAGAAGATGTGTATTGTTCAAATGATAAACTTGACTGTTTTTAGCAAATAATCATTAGCTTAGAATTTTATGACTGCAACATGTTCCAAAACAGCTGGGACTGGGTCATGTTTACCACTATGTTACATCACTTTTTTTTCAACATGCAATAAACATTTGGGAACCGAGAACACTAATTGCTGAAGCTTTGTAGGTGGAATTCTTTCCCATCCTTGCTTGATGTACAATTTCAGTTGTTCAACAGTCTGTGGTTTCTGTTGTCATATTTGAAGTTTCATAATGTGCCACACATTTTCAATGTGAGACAGGTCTGGACTGCAGGCAGGTCAGTTTAGTACCTGCACTCTTTTACTATGAAGCCACGCCATTGTAAGACACGCAGAATGTGTTTGGCGTTGTCTTGCTGAAATAAGCAGTGACGTCCATAAAAAAAAGACGTTGCTTGGATGGCAGTGTATGTTTCTCCGAAATCTGCATGTACGCGGGCAACCGCAGCGGCTCGTCTTGGTGTCTGTTGTCCGTTTAAGAGGGAGGAAATTTCATCTGTGCTTTGCACATACAGCACATTTGACAATAAAGTTGTACTTGATACTTGACTTGATACCTTTCTGCTTTAATGGTGCCTTCAAAGATGTGTAAGTTACCCATGCCATTGGCACTAACACAGCCACAGATCATCACAGAAGCTGGCTTTTTACTTTGATTCCATAACAGTCCGGATGGTTCATTTTTATGTTGAGGAACATTGTACTTAAACTATTTTCTCATGCAGTTATTCACAAAGAGGTGAACCTTGCCCCTCTTTGCTTATTAATCATTGAGCAATTCAGAAAGGCTCGTTTTATACCCAATCATGGCACCCACCTGTTCCCAGTTAGTCTGTTCACCTCTGCGATGCTCCAAACATGTGTTTAATGACCATTTTTTGCCACTTGTCCCAGCTTTTTTGGAATGTGTTGCAGCCATAAAATTCAAAGTTAATAAATTTCAAAGTTAATAGTTATTATTTAAGTTCATCAGTTTGAATATTAAATATCATGTAAGTATTCAACTAAATATAAGTTCTCGCAGGGAGTACATGCAAACTCCATACAGGATGGCCGGAACCGAGATTTCAAAAGCGAGAGGCAGATGTGGTAAGCAACAGTGCTGTACAACTATGTCCAATTCACAAAATCTGGCATGACTAAGGCTGGCTTTCTACTGCATGGTTCAAGAAACACCATTACGTTTGTTTGCTCTTTGGTGGCACAATGGAGATATGTATTGTGGCAGTGTAGAGAGAAAGAGTTATGCTCATACAGCATGTCCTAAACAGGAAGTTTTTAATACCGCTGTTGCATTGAATGGCACTAGATTGTGAAAGTATATCAAATGTTGTGGTCATGGTAACTTCCTACCATAGACTTTGTACCACAGAATTACTCACCTCATGCGGGCAGTTCTCACACATCTGAAAATGACACAGTCCTCTGGACAACTGTTCCGGTCCAGACCTGCAGCAGTCCTCGACACCTCTGTCAATTTTGCTGTTGACGTCGCTCAAGGAAAAGGCACACAGGGCCGAGTTCTTTTGGGGTTCTCCCCTCACAGTCACCTCAGCAAACACACCATAGAGGATGTCCTCTGTCTCGTCCACCCTCAGCTCCAGAGCCAGATCCTTCCCCGCATGGCCAAAGTGGGCCGCCATGAGTCCGTTGTACACGATATCCCTGTACGGCTCCCTTCGTCGCCTTTTGGGCTCGTACCTGCACTCCAGCACCAGCTCGCGGTACGTCCACACCTCGTGAGTCCCCACAGGCAGCCGTCCTAATCGGGTCTGAAAGGCTGAATCGTCCTTGGAGGGGTTCTCCCTCTGCAGCGATAGGAAGTAGACAAAATCCCGGGTGGAGAAGCTGTAGATGTAATCAATGCTGTACGAGTCCCTCAGGTGGGGCAGCACTGTCAGGCCCTCCATCACCATTTGGAATCCATCTTCGGTAGAGAGCGGCCTGACTACAGACATCGACCTCCGGGGGAACTTCTGCATCACTTTGTCATTAACAGTGGCCGCCACGAAGAAGTATGACGTGGCTGCCTGTTCTACAATGGTGACCTTGGTGCCCAGAGGACTGGCTAGACAGTCTGGGCAGTAAGAGGGGGAGTTTTGGTTTTCTTTGTATAAACACTTAGGTTCTGGCGGCATGACCTCGATGTCGATGAAGAAACAGATGCCGTGTTGGGTACTGCCGCAGACGTACAGGTAGGACAGGAATGAGAACGCAGCATCCAAGACCAGCACCTCATTGTCTGTATCCACCGGGTCACTAGGTTCTACTTCAATGTTGCAAATGTGGCAGGTTTTACACTCCGGATTCCCCACCGGCCCTGTTTTCACCTCCCACACTCTGCTCATCTTGTCATCCACCGCCTCCACTACGTTCCGTGAGGCGACATACACCTCTGAGGAGAACGGGTTGGCCTCCACGTTCTGTATGGGATGCTCCGTTTGGAAATGCGGCAGTGTGTACTTGACTGAGAAGTCCACCTGACTGCGGGGACCCACAGGGCACGTGCGCTGTCCTGGGGAAATGTTGGCCCGTATCCACGTGCATAGAGTTAGCAAGGTAGCCGCCCACGCCAGCATCTCTGTGGCACGGCCCCTCATCTTCGGCGGGCTACGTGGAGGATGCGCCTTTGGACTTTGACGCCATTCTTGAGGAGCACCAGCGCTCTGTGGGAGGACATGACACGCGTTTATAAGCAACGCATTCCCTCTTTTGTTATTGGAATGTTTTTATTTCTATTGTTAAAGTGTCAAAATGTTATAAAAATCAAAATTAAAAAAATATTGAACTTCAACCCAAAAGTTAAAAGCTGTGAGCTTTTATAGGTGACAGATCCCCTCTTTTGATCCTATCCATCAATTATCAATATAATTTGTCAACAATAAACCAACCTCCGAAATGCAAAACTGCCTCACGGTTTCTAATATTTTGACCCGCTGTGTGGATAAATTAGGCATACAAAAGCTTCGATATTTGAAACATGAAAAGTAATTTCTAAAACTTTGCTCAAATTAAGTAATTAACAAACCGTGTATTAATTGTTCACATGACTACTCCTCATTTATGTGATGGTTGAGTTGATGGCCGTCTCAGACTTTTTGGCAACCAGAGGGGTATACCCTGGACTACACTATTCATTGGATGAAATTAAATCAATCATAAAAAATGAATAGGGGATGCAGGGTGGGGTCAGCCTAAGACAATGAAATACTGGATAATAATGTTATAATATTTGCGTTCTTCATGTATTATTTTGCTGACACTGCCTGGGGTCAATTCAATGTTTATTTGATGAAGTTTTTTTGATATGGGGGACGTGAGAGTGCAGTATTTATGTTTGTGACACGTCAATATATGCTCTAGTTATTTACATAAAATTTGCGGAGTATGCGCATGCAAGTTGTTCCTTCAGTGTAACTGTAGCAATGTGGAATGGGATACATAAAGCATTTGTGGAATATACAAGAAATAGGAAATCCAGGAACTGGCGACTTGGACATGTCATTGTAATTCCTTCCAAATTGAGAAAAGAGGATAAGGTATCAGTTATTTGCATTATTCCGATTGTGACTGGAAATACACTGACACATGAGAGTGAAGGCGGCCTGAAAAAGAGTGGTGCTAAATTGTTTAGAAACAAGCCATGACTTGCTTTGACAATGTGACCAGCAACCACGGAGACGATTGGGTCACAAACATGAATAAACGAGTCTAAAAACTGCATTACATTAGTCGTAACATGGGAGAAATTCTAACAAGTTGCAGCAATAAGCACGAACAAGTCCAACAACACACTTAAGGCTTAACTATGCCACAATGGTAAACTCTTTTATGAAGTGAAACTACAACTTAAGTCACCCTAATGTTTTGTATGGCTACTTATGTCAACTCTTTGTTTATGTTTAAGTTTAAAAAAATAAATAAACGTCCCAAAAAGTGAACGGGTTGAGGCTCACCTGACAGAGGATGACTGGAAGTCTATGTGGTCTGAGCAGAGTTCAAGCTGCCACGCTACTCCCAAGCATGTCAAGCAAGCTGTAATGGTAGCAAGACAAACCGGATGTTTGCTTTGTTCGTCTTCAAAATAAAACAATATGCCAAGGAAGGTGCCAGGTTGCACATTGAAACTCTTTCACATTCGTAATCACACCTCGGGATGATTTAGAGCAGTGTTTTTCAAACTTTTTTGAGCCAAGGCACACTTCTTTCATTGGAAAAATCTCGCGGCACACCACTAGCTGAAAATGTGAAAAAAATCCTGCTCATTTTACCAATTAACATGTTATGTTGTTACTATAGCCATTTTTAACATTGAAGAATGACGTTATAACAGCTTGAATTGGAATCAAATAAGCACAAAGAAAAAAGTATTTTATAATCTTTCAAATTTATTGTTTCACTGTCGTCCTGCATTCATGCGGCACAAATTCGCTTGTCTCTAGTGGTTAGCTGTTGCTGCTCGCATTGGTTTGGGAAGGTACTACATGATTACTTTCTGGGCGACAGACCGCACAGGCATACAAATTGGATATTTTCCCGTGGCACACCTGACAATGTCCCGCGGCACACCACAGGGTTTGAAAAACACTGATTTAGAGCAAGGGTCGCCAACCTTTTTGAAAATATGGAGGCTACCAGTTTGATAGGATGCACTTTGAAATAAATCTGCTCAAACTACCTTCATATGTTACACTTAATGATTAACCATATTCATTTTTGAGAAGACACTGATCACATAGCAATAATAATTAAACAGATAAATATCAGGGGCAGCACAGTGTGGACTGGTTGGTACGTCGGCCTCACAGTGCAAAGGTGCAGGGTTCCTATCCTGTGTGTAGTTTGCATGTTCTCCTCGTGCCTATGTGAGTTTCCTCCCACATTTTAAAAACATGCATGGCAGGTTAATGGGACGCTCGAAATTGTCCCTAGGTGTGAGTGTGAGTGCGGTTGGTTGTTCGTCTATGTGTGCCATGTGATTGGCTGTCAACCAGTTTAAATTGTACCCCGCCTACTGCCCGAAGACAGTTGGGATAGGCTCCGGCATGCCTGCAACAATCTTATAACACATTGTACATTTCATTCTTCAAAAATCAAATATATTTAAACCACCATATTTTTTATGAATGTGTTTAATTATTGGTCAAATCTAGATCAAAAGATAGACAGAGAGATAGCTGAGCTAGACCGAGTTAAAACGTGTCTTAATCATCCCTGATGTTTATTCAGAGGCGTTGGAAACATCAGCAGATTTGTTTTGAAAGGTGCGGACCGGAAACACTTCACTCTTATTTTGTTGATTTTTTGTGTGCGCGTGTGTGCGTGTGTGTGTGTGCATGTGTGTGTTGGCAAGTGTCAGGCCGCACCCGCTGTGGAACTTAGGATACCATTGCGCAACCTGAAAACCGCCAGACATCCTCATGGTGTCGTCATTTGTGTCGTATATTGATGTCATGTGTTGACTGACTACATACATTTGCGATCATTGGAAAAATAGTTGCTCTTCCAACAGTCTTTCCGTCCTTCCTTTTTTTTTGCCAATAATGCATTTGTGCGAGATGAGTAATAATCTCTTTCACTTTTGGTCTGGAAGGTATGACAAGAATGTCTTCTCTCTCTCTCTCTCTCTCTCTCTCCCTCTCTCTCTCTCTCTCTCTCTCCCTCC